CAATGATGGGACACAACCTAAATGCCCTCAATAGGTGACAAATTAAATAAATTATAATGACATTTTCTTAAAATGGAATGGTATATGATATGTAGATGATGTATTATACAAATGTACACTTGAAACCTATGTAATTTTACTAACCATTGTCACCCCAATAAATTTAATTTAAAAAATTAAAACTTAAAAAAAAAAGGATGAGGAAGCTGTCCTGGAAAGTGAAAAAAATCAAGATGCAGAACAGTGTTTAAATATCAATCTTGATGTTCACTTGAATATGCATAAAGGAACTCTAGAAAGATAATAAGAAATTAAATAGTTATGGGGCGGCGGATTGGGGGAAGGGGATTGTCACTTCTAGGGGTAAAAAGCATAACTATTGCACTGTGTTGTACAGCTGAAACTAATTCTAAAAAATGTGTATTTCATAATAAAAAATAAAAATTAAAAAAAATAAAAAGAAATTAAATAGTTATATAGCAGCAGACACCAACTGGAAGCCCAAAGTTGCATTTGCTTGGTTTGTATAGCTTTTTAAAGCTGGATTTCACTTAATAATCTGCTCTCCAGGTAAGGGAAAAAAAAGTGAAGCAGGCCAGGTGTTAAGATAAGAAATGGGAGTGGTAACCTAATTTGTTTGGATTTTTCTACCCAGATTGAAGGTTGTGCCTTGGACATGACTAAAGCAGGGCGGAGGGTCTCTGCAGTGGGAGCGTGGATGCACTGACCAGTTTCATATCAGAGTACAGCTGTGACTCACAGATAGCTAGCCTTGTACCAAACTTCTCTCCAGGTTTCCTGTAGAGGCTTAGGAGCCACAGCTGGAAAAGGCACACCTAGTATCCCCATCCTCCAAGGTGTGCTCAGGAGCAGCCCTGACATCCATCTGTCATAACTGGCAGAGTGCCTAGGGCCCATGACAGTTTTAGGGACCCATAAAATGTTGTCATTTTCATTTCTTTTACAATCAGAAGAAAAAAATAAATGGAAGAATAATGAATACATGATAATGCATCCCACCTGATTTCCATTCGACTTTATACTAACACAGTTGTAAATATAATCTTTAATATATTTTATGGAGGAAGGGGCCTACACAAACATGATAAAAATGCCCAAGGACTGACAGAGTCATCATGTCCCAATGTGGCCCTGCACAGGAGAGAGCACTTGCCACTTGAGGGGAGGCTTAAACCTCACAGGCCCAATGGGCACAGGCAGGGCCTCTTCCTCCAGGAACTGCTCCCCTGCACCAACACCACACACATACATGTTGAGCCCTTTTATGCTTAAGAACTCGGGCAAAATTAGAGAAGGGTTTGGGGGCCCAAAGGAGAACCAGTGCTTATCTGCTATTTTCCCAATGTGTCCTACCCCTGGTCGACTGGCCCAAACCTCTGGTCTTCCCTTTAGCCACACTAGAACCCTGGAAACTTCCAGAGTGACTCTGAACATTTCCCTGCTTTTCTGAGGCCAAACTCCCCCACTAAAGAGTGGCCTGGCTGAGTTCTCAGGGGTCTCTCTCCCTCATCCTCAAGCCATCACCCTCTTTCCTAAGAAGACAGGAATGACCCATCTTCAGAGATCCCACCTTCCATCAGCCTTGAACCTCTCACCCCTACACCTCAACTAGGAAGTTATATGATTTTATGCCATATGCCCAAGGTCCTACAATAGAAGGCCTATCATGTCCCTTCAAATCTTTTCCCTCCTGACAATCTTCTTGAAAGACAAGTTGTGGAAAAGCAGACTAAAGCAATGGTTATCAAAGTGTGGCTCCCTGACTGGCAGCATGGGCATCGTCTGGGAACTTGTTAGGAAGGCCAGTTATTGAATCCCACCCCAGGTATGATAAACTCTGGGATTGGGGGGCCAGCAATCTGTGTTTTATCACGCCTCCAGGCAATTACCATGCAAGCTCAAGTTCCCAAACCATCAAGCTATGAGCCACAGTGCCCAGATTTTAAATGGCCGAGTCCCATGTCCCGGGCCCAGAGGTGATGCGTGGAGCCAAGGTGGGACTCAGAAATGTGCCCCAAACGCCGGATGCACTTGGTCCAAGGCCCAGGCGATCACAGAGGTACTATCCTGGGATCCTGAACTGGTGCCAGGAGGGCAGGCACAGGCGGCAGCTATTCGAGGCTCCGGGCCTGGGGTCCCAGCGACTTGAGTCTGTCGTGTTAACCCTAGCTGAGTTAAGCCGCGGCGTCTCAGGGCGGGTCCCCACGCCCTCACTGCGCGGTCGGAGGTGGTGGTCGCGCCCCTCTCTCTGAGCTCATTCTCACTCTGCTCTTCAGGCTGCAGGAGTTGCCTGATGCTCAGACTACCTGTGCTCTCCTACACCTTACGTACGGAATGCCAACTCCCGAGTCCAACAGGCATTCCCGATTCCTAATCAGAGTGGGGATCGAGGGTCCATATTTAAAAGCAGGACTCCGACACTCGCTCACCCCAGGTGACCCTGAGTCTTCGCCAGATCTGGAAGTTGGTTGTCTGTTTATGGATTAGAGGGATCCGCCTCACGAGAATGCCTCACCCATTCCTCCTAGAAGGTAGAGGGTTAGGGAGTCCTCTTCAGGCACTCGCGGCCTGTTCCCTGGGTACATTGGTTCCTGGGTACAAAGTCGGGGCCCAGGGAAGGGGAAACTCTCCAGAAACCTATTCCAAAGGCTTTCAGATCCAGAGAGGGTGAAACACACGCCCTCTGGATCCATGCAATTCAAATGCCTCTCACCCTTTTCGAGGCCACAGACCCCACTCCGGCCCCTTCCGGCCACCTGGCCTCCATTCACGAGCCCCAGCCTGGAGGGCGCTCCTGACGTGCACCCAGAGCATGATTTGGCCTTAGGAATCCAAGTGTCTTTCAATCCGAAGTCTCAAACCAACGTTGACCTCCAGCTTTTAAACATCTTGGTTGTGCTCCTGTGCCCAGCTTTGCTTAATTATACACACACATCATCTAAAGCTCGATTTCTGAAAAGAAAGAGTGTAAAAAGTGCCACACCCGGAGCGGCAGGCACCCACGGGCTCCTGTCCTTAGAATGCGCAGCACCAGAGTTTTCCAGTTCTTTTAAAGTGTGCACAGTTTAAGAGGCACCCTGGTTTCTCATCGACCAGCTCAAGGTATATTAGACAATGGTTGCAAACCCTGGGTGGAAAATATTGTCCAGAATATTGAGAGAAACTATATAATATTCTTACTTGTAATCACCACCCTTAGTCTTCAAGTTGGCGCATTTTCTTTCTTTCTTTTTTTAGTCTGTCACCGCTGAAGCTAATTTTTTGAACATTCCAGTGGTCGATTCAAGCAGACACCTGAGAAGCAGTACCTCAGAAGAAAGCTGTTTTGTTTTTGCATAAAATAGCTTATACTTTCCAAAATGTCCTGACCAAACAATATTTACAGTCATTTAAGAGATATTAAATATAGCCAGATTTCGGGAGGCGGGGGCGGGGGGAGGTTCCTTCTATCCTTTGTTTTNTTCTTAACCATCGCGCCACTCGGCCCGCCCAACATTTATTTCTTTTAAATGCATAAACTCAGTTTAGTAAATAGTTTTTAAAATAAACATATGCAGCTGTTCTTAAAACCTTTCTTTCCCTGAATTTGAGCCACAGATTTTTAAACTGTTTTGTGCATCTCGATGTCAACTTATTTTTTTACTTGCAAAACTCCCCTTGGTGCTCCCCACTTCCACCTCCTCTCTGTTTCTTTATCACAGTAACTTTCCTTTTTCACTCTCCTACTTTCTCTGGAACATGCCCTCACTAAACAAATTTGCTGTGTCACTTCTACTCTTACATTCCCCTGGAATAAAGCATCTTTTGCTGTCACTCATTAACCACTGAAACCCCCACATGATTATTTCCAGTGCATCATAATAAACATTCCTTGACATGTGTCACACAAGCCCAGAATCAACAAGGAGGGCAGTACTGGCTGTGTGGGTGCTCCCCGATAGAGTGCCTTTGAGCAAATTAAAGAAGGGCGCCCTCTCTGGGTAGGACATAGGACTGAGTCACTGCTGAATTTCAGCCTTGACCTGCACTGGTGAGGCATGACCTCCCCAGCTGGACCCAGCAGCTCTAGAACAAGTTCAGAAATACAAGCTCAGCTTCTCCTCACCCTTGCAGTGGCTCCATCATAGGCTTGCAGTGTTTCTAAGAGCAATCATTTAACCCTTTCGTGACACAAATTTTTTCCTGGGTCACAGTAAAAATTGTGCAATACTTGGATATGATCCATCCTGTTACAAGTTTGTGTATGTGTGTGACCATGACAGTGGTGCTGATATTCTTTGGGAGATAAGCAGATCACTCAGCTCTAGGACAAGCTCAGACTGTTTAGGTTTCCTTTAATGAGGAGGGGGGAACGCTGGCCATTTTTATCCTTGTGTAGTTTCCTGTTCCAGTGCAGTGCTCTGTGACTTGCAGCCCAACATTCATGCCCTAATGCACGCACTCTCTTGAACTGAATGAGAACATCTGACTAGGTCAGTTTGCATTGGAACGCACCTCCCAGATTTTCTACACTATATGATACCAGCTCTGGACATGTCTTATTCGGTGTTCATCTCTGTCAGCTAGTCTGAAAATTGGAACCAGAAACACTTGACAAATCACTGG